AGAGAGAAAACTAAAACGCCTGCAAAGGAATTGTAGCTTTTTTACTTCCCTGTCTCTCAAACCCCAGATGTCTCTGTCCCATAGGTTGTACCTACACAAACAGGAAGAGGAGTGCACATTCCAATGCCGGCTGTTCCTGACTTCACAGCTTCCAGTACCTCAAAAGGCCAGATCTTACTCCAGATCCCCACACTGAATTTCTCTACCCTAGGACCAGAGGTTTTCAGTTTTGTTTTTCGTATGTTTTAGTTTTTGTCTAGGGGATTGAGCTCAGCCTACAATTATAGAGCTACATCCTCAGCCTCTTATTTTGAGACCAGGTCTCAGCAGGCTGCTAAATGGAAATCCTCCTGCCTCAGCCTCCCAGAGGGCTAGGATGATAGTACTGTGCTACAATCCCCAGCTGGAACAGAAGTCTTTTAAAATCAGTTGAGCGTGGTAGGGCATAGTGGCCCAAGCAGGACTTCAGAGGCTGAAGCAGAGGAACTGCTGCAGTTTGAAGCCAGACTAAGATACATAGTGAGTTCAAGGCCAGCCTATTTTACATGGCAAAACCCTGTATCAAAAAAAAAACAAAAAGAAAAAAAAAATCACTATCAGTTAGGCACGGCTATATGGCAGTGTGCATTAGCCACTCAGAAGGCTGAGGCAGAAAATCAAAATTCAAAGTCAGCCCAGGCAATTTGGCAAGATTCAGTCTTAAAAACAAACAAAAGGTTGTTGTGAGCATAGTGATGCACATCAGTAATCCCAGCACTCTGGGAAGCTGAGGCAGAAGGATCACAGCTTTGAGCCTAGCCTGGGCAGTTGAACCACTCAGCGAGACGCTGTCTCCAAACAGAAATAGAAGAAGGGCTGGAGATGTAGCTCTGTGTGAAAACCTTGGGTTCAGTCCTTGGTACCTAACAGTACAATTGGCCACGTAGCTCAGTAGTAGAGTGCTTACCTAGCGTTCACGAGGGTCTGGGTTCATTCCCAAGTGCTGCCAAATTAATCGCTTAAATAATGACGTCACTCACATGGACAATTCAGAAGAAAAAAAATTGACATACTAGCTATTGAATTCATGGCATCATATGTGCTAGCCAGGTGTCCCACCGCTGAGCTATATCCCTAATCCTTTTAAAACATTTGTTTTGAGACCAGGCCAGCCTGGAAGTCAAGGTTCCCCCACAGGCACGTGCTAACCATGCGCAGCTCAGACGAAATTCTTAACTTCCTTGGTGGAGTGCTGGGCCACAGACACTGCACCTTCTCTCTCTTTCCCTATTTCCTATCCTCCCCTTCCCCCTATTCCTTGCTTCCCTGCCCACCCTCAGGAACCACGTGTGGCACTGTAGATCTGCCTGGCTGATCCTCACCTTGATGATAGTGGCAAAATATTCTCCATTAATAAAATTGTCAGTCTTCAGGTAGAGGTCCCGAAGCTCACTTGCTCCCACGGGATTGTATTTGTCGTTAAATTTATCAAAACGCTGGAATGTCTGGCGACCCTGCATCAGGAAGCAGGAGCAGAAGGATGAGATTAGCACAGCTGCCTGGACGCAGGGTGCCAGCCCAGCGGGATGGGGCTGTCGCAGGAAGAGGGCTTGGGCTCCAAGGATGAAATCTGGACCCTTTGGCAGCGAGTGAACCTCCACAGTGTCTGCGGTACTTCCAGCCAGTACAGGCCAGAGGTGTATGAGAAGGGAGGGCTCTCAGGAGAGAGGCAGGGGGCTGCTAAATATTAGAGTGGAACTAACATTTTTTTTTTTTTTTTCAACCTACAGCGTGAACATCCAGTGAATCCACAGTCAGGTCATATGGGTGCATCTTCAATTTGTCAAAAAGCTCCTTTAAGGTCAGATTCTTCTCTTTGGTGCTGTAGACCACTCTGTCGGCATCGACATGGTACGATTTCTTAATGAAGCGCAGCAGGTGCTTCTGGTTCATGCAGGCCGCTGCGTGGATATGGGTGTCCACCTGCGTGCACAGTGAGAGAAAGGAGAGCCAGCCACCAGCCCTTGTTATACTACTCTGGTAGAGCCCACGGCACCTGCACGTCCCACTGTGGTGGGAGGAAAGAGTAAGTAATGGGGTGTAAGCTGGCAGCTGGTGGAGAGGAGGGCCCTGCAGGCGCCTGTCTGCGGGAGTCAGGACAGTACAGATGCAATGACAACGCTCGGTCTCCTGTGTATACGTGTATCCAATAGACTTCCTACAACTGGCCCAGACAGGATTCTTGGGGACTGTTCTCCACCCTAGAAATATAATTAAAAGTAATGCAGTAGTTATTACAGCTTTCACCCCACAAAGAAGATAGGATTGAAGTTGTGAAGCTACGGCGCAGTGATGATAATCATTACATAGATATTTCAATACATGAATTTCATAAAATGAATTTTTAGCCAATAACAAATGCTGGTGGGGCTGTGAGGGAAAAGGAACGCCTTGTCCACTGTTGGTGGGCGAGCAGGCTGGCACGGCCACTGTGGAGATGAGGATAGAGAGTCCTCGAAAGACTGAAACTAGGGGTTTCATTCAACTCAGCTATTCCCCTTCTGGTTTTCCTCTTAGAAGAATTAAAAGCAGTAGAGGCTGGTGAGATAGCTCAGTGGACTACCTGCCTGCTTAGGCCAGCACAGGGCCCGGGGTTCAACCTCTAGCATCACATACTGAATAGGTCCCAGGCACGCTGAGCTAACCAGCAAGGCCGGGTGTGGTGGCACATGCCTGTAATCCTGGCACCGGGGAGGCTGAAAAACGGGAAGGTCGCTGCAAGTCTGAGCTGCATAGTGAGACCCTGCACCACACACATTTTTTTTTTTTTAAAAAAAAGAGAATTAAAAGCATCAGACCACACTGCCATATGTTTATAGTGGCATAATTTTGAATAGCTACATCTGGGAACAGTCCAAATGGCCATCAACCAATGATGGGATAAATAAGCTGCATAGTAATGGAGCACTACTCTGCCACAAGGAAAAGCTTGAGGAAAGCTAGGTAAATGGGTACACCTTGAGACCATCCTCTTAAAAGTGAAATAAATTGGACATGAATGTTTAAGTACCACATTGTTTCTCTGGTGTAAGAAACAGAGCTTTTCTAAACAAGGAGGGAAAAGGGGGTTGAAAGGAGGGGAGGGGAGCAGGAAAATAAAAAAGGAGCAGGATATATGATGTGCAGGTACAAATTCTTTATGATGAATGTTAATATTATATAAATCTAAAATATACCAATAATATTTTTAAATGTAAAAATTATTAATGAAGTCTACAGTCCACACAGAAAATTTTTTTAAAAAAAATTTAAATTTTGGTTTGTCCAAAATTAGACAGACAGTTGATTCAGACTTGGGTCTGAATCTTCCCTCAGTTACTGTATTTCCTATTCCCACTTCCTTGAAATCATTTGCAAGTGTTTCTAGAATGATTTTCATACTCCTTAGCTTATTCAGTAGTTATGATCTTCATTTTCTTTTTTTCTTTGGGACAGGCTCTCACTAGCTGGCTCAGGCTTTGAACTATACAAACCAGGCTGGCCTTGAACTCACGAAAATCTTCCCGCCTCAGCCTCTGAGTACTGGGATTACAGGCATGTGCTCTGATCTTCACGTAAACTGTTCTGAACAGAAATATTTCCCAGTTTTACAAGTGAGGATGCTGGAACTCAAATGTATTTCGTTAACTCCCCCTGAAGTTTTATAGTCAAGAAGG